AAGCACAATTTAGCACTTACAGCGGAGTCAACAAACCAGACTTACAAATTAACTGTACCAGTTCTTTCATATGGCGGCGCACAAACCACTACGACTGACGAACCGGTAAGGCTTCCAATCGGGTGGTCCTGACGGTCATATATACTTTCGTGCGTACCAATCAATCAAAACAAAGCAATCCAATCTGAAATGTGTAATCGTAAATGGTAGGTTTCATCTAACGCCTTTAGTATATTAAAGATAACTTCAAATTCAACCAGGCAAACTAACACATTGAGACATAGTTAGGAGTGAAAATAATTGCCAAAATACCATAGTCAATAATATGTTGACGACTGGTTGTCTGTGAAAGTAAATAGCTTGGTTTTACTCTGCTTTACATATATTTGTAAAAATGCACCATAAACAAATCTCTTAATGTGGAAGCCGAAAAAGAGTATTCCCAATGGACGCGCTACTTCATTTTAGTTTAAAGTTAAAATTATTTAAGCTTTTCCGCATTGCACCTACAATTTTTAATGCCAGTAAAACAACCTTTGAGTTTTTAAGAATAACCGCCTTCTTATCCACTGCTTGGAGTTTTTATTGAATGCTCTTATGCTGCTTGTTACCCTGTCAAATGCGATTTTTAAAAAATTTATTATTTATATGTGATACGATGGTGGTTTACCCCTGTTCTGGTGAAGCGCCACTTTTGCACTTTGAATTAGCCCCCTTGTACCTCGCTAGGTGGGCTGGCCTTTTGGGCCATGCCAATAGACCAGATACATTCTCCGTGCTGAATATATATATATTCTGCTCGAGTATTGTGCCTTCTTTCGTCTTCAGGGAGTCTCTGGACGCTACATATAGAATATGGATTGTCACCTAAAATATAGCGTAGTTTCTTTTACTCTCATAGATTTTACTTGAAACACAGGACTGCATAGTGCTTGTGTGGAACTCCGTGAGGTGCAATTGTGTAGCATCCCGAGACTTCCCTGAAGACGATAGAAGACATAATATTCGGGCAGAACTCATATATACTTAAAACAGAGAAAAATGTTTGGGCTACTGGCATGGCCCGAAGGCCAGATTACCCAGCGAGGCACATGAAGGCAAGTTTAAAGGTTCAAAAGTTGCACCCTGTTAATACCTAGGGATAAACCACCATCGTATTACAGTTGCAGCCTCTAAAAGTATAGTACGGGTTTCGCTCTATAATAACTGTGCGCAAAATTCGCTAGTCGAAGGCGTATGACCTGTCGTGGCAGAAACAGGTGCTGTTGTGGCGTGTCTCATATTTTTTAATCAAGCCACTAAATAATACGAGAACAATGCGCAGGGTACCGATCCCAACAATTCTCTGACACATGGATTATTCTTGATATTTTCTCCACATGTTAGACGAACAACTTGGCCTTGTGGTTGAAAAGAAGATGCTAGATGCCTTTAGCAAAATATTTCGTTCAGGATGCTCATAGGCCGTGAACTGAGAGTGTCCTCCGATGTCTTCCTGCTAAACACGGAAGTAGCAGCCAACAGCGTTCCATAGTAGGTACCGCATCTGGAAGAATTTATGAGAAAATCTTTAACAGAGCCATTAGTCACGACTGTCATATGTCAGGCAGAAGAAATATAACGCCAAACGCAGCCAGACTAATGCCTACCAAGAAGGAAATTTAGTACAAATATACGGGCCGATGCCTCGACGCAGAATAGAATACAAGGTTAATTACCTTTTAATCAACGACTCATTTCGAGTGGTGAAGTTCCTCTCAACTACAAACTGCCTCTCTCGCAAAGCACAACTCTACACCCAATCAATGTTTACTCATTACAGTAGGATGAGACTTCACAAAGGTACACTACCGCTCCGTTACGAGCACAGGGTTTATTTACCGAGGGAGGAGCGGAACAACAAGATGGCAATTTAAAGACAGACCATAAGGGGGCGCCATGAATGGTGCTAAAAGGACAAGAGGACTAAATGGCACTTACAATGCTTAAGTGAATCTATTGTAGAGGAAACGGGCAGACAGCTTGAACATCATGATAGAGAAATGTGCAGAACTCCTAGAAGCAGAGGATAGACTAGTTCCCCAATCCCTCTAAAACTGTACCTATTATCGCAAACTCTAATTAATGAGCGTGACTCAATCAAATCACTCTTCCTTCAAAGGGTTGGAAGGCCAGAGAACAAAGGATAAACGAGTATAATGCTATAATGGGATTTGAAGGTTTTTGGCAGAAGGATGCATGAAAGATACCGCAACACTTTCTTATGCATAGTTTTAACACATCCAAACCCACATTCTACTTTTTGATTATGTTGTGTTTTATTTGTCTTTTAATCAGGGTTTGAGGACCCTGCAAGCATTAGAGTATCCTTCAATTATTATTTGTCTTCGCCTTTGAAATCTAACTAACACTATAGTTGTGAATATTCGGATATTTCCTGTTTTAGGGATTTTGCAACTGGCGATAGATCAAATTACTAAGCAATGATTTTGAGCATATTTTTTTGCGTACAGATAAGCTTTTAAGTTGACTTCAGTTATAGTATTGTAACGTGCTATTCTTCGTTAATGTTCGCAATTACCAGTAAGAAATTCGGCCTCGACCCAAAGCTTGTTTTCATGTGCTGCTGAGTGCGTCCTCTTTCGAACATATTTGGCTGAATTATCTGTGGGCGCGGATAATGTGGCTAACTCCGCGTCTCTTCGCGCTGCAAGTAAAGGCCGCTGAGAAATTCGCCAAATATGCATCTTTTAGCCCGACTCCACTTTCTTTGAAGACTCTAACCTCCTTCGGTTGTTTAGCATCATTCCATTTACTGGTACATTCTAATAGGACAAAATCCCAGAGCAGATATTATCCAGTCCACACGTTTTTTAAGCACAGAATTGCCCGTCAGGATTGCAAATATTTTGCAAGAACTGCGTTTACTTCCTAGGAAGCTGTTGGAGACACCCTCGGCGTCGTTAGTGACCAGTTGGTATGTTGGTGTTCTGGTCAGGTTATTCCCTCTTAGGTATGAGGAGTCATTTATGAGTCTTATAGACTTTGAGGACAAGACTTTAAATGCCAAAGAATGTGAAAACTTTTTGGTGTTTTTGGACAAGGCCTTATCCAGACACAGCACAGTTGTTGAAACAATGGCAGCAGTAGGTTTTAGTCTGCGCCTCTTAAGTACTTTCTTGCAAAGGGTGTTATGGAAATGCATGAAAAGCATGGAGAAGATCCTGTCACTAATAACCAGTTGCAGTACTTCTTGGATAGGCTTTTCTTAATGCGAATTGGCATTCGTATGCTCGCAAGTCAGCATTGTAAGTGATTGTGACGCATTGCCTTTTTCCACGATTTGTCCTTCGTTCCTCACAGTAGTTTATTTCCGTCACACTGCAGTGCTGGTTTTTGGGCCTGAATTTAATAAACACCATCGGTTTGTTGGATGCATCGACCAACACTGCAACGTCGTGCACATTTTACGTGATGCCTACGACGATGCAAAATTGCTCTGTGATCACTATTATGCAGACTCGCCCAATATGGAGGTTTCTCTTGTAAATGGTGCGCCTCAATACCACTTTTTCTTTCTTTGGATGGTAATCACCCTTATCTGTTTCTGTGTTCTGTCTTACGTCTGATGGGGAATTCCTATTTATTACATCATGTTATCCAGAAAGTGGTAGATTATGCTTTACAGTGGCTAGGTGATTTGTATCTAAATTTATTGAATGATTCGTTAGTTTTCTGGCGCCTCTTTTATTACATACTCTAAAAAGATTGCTTGATCCATTCTCCTATTTCGCCTAGGTATCTTCTCTCATGCTCCCAGTGATCTAATGGTTACTTTAGGTTATTCAGAATGTACGGGATTGTGACAGCATAAAATGTATGCGTCTTAAGTGAATTAAACCTGATTTTGGGGCTGTGGTCTTAAAAAAGAAATGTGTAATTGTTTACTTACTCTTTGTTATCCCTACAGACGTAAATGGTGTCATTGAATTCGTCTACGTCCCGTCCCACCTCTATCACATTCTTTTTGAGCTTCTCAAGGTGAGCTGTTGATGTTGGAGGAAGTGCTCATTTTTGGTAATTTTTTTGCCTACTCAATGCATCCTGCTATTGCTTGTGGAAGTAATGTCAGAGTTTGTCACCTCACGGGTACAAAAATAAGTAAAATTCCATCTTAATATACGCTGAAATTTATCAGTCTATCTTTTCACCATGGATACATATTCAACCTTTGGAGCCTGCATGACTAGTGCCATCTGCTGAAATTCTATCAAATTTCCTGCCTGGTTTCACTGTTTACTTTAAAGATGACCGGCCGATTTACCCTTGACTAGCTATTTCTAATTTGTGGGATTTTTTTGGGGTTCATGGCAATAATGCTCCATCAACTCCATTTCATCGTATTAAAGACCTTTGGAAATACTCTCTATCCTCTAACATATCAATAAAAAGTTGTGGGAATGTATTTCACGGTTCAACACGTTCGTCATTATAGTCCTCGCAGAGGGCAATCGACCACCATGGTATAGAGATTTCATATTTCAACAGGTTGGCATTTGCTCTGCCTTACCAACTCGAACGTCACGTATACGTGATGGTGGTAGCAATTGTGTTACCAACTTTATTTGTCTATTATGAGATTGGGACTTTTGAGAATCTAATGCGTCAGGTAGGTCGACACTTTTTTCTCCTTTTGGTTGCAAAAGTGCTAGGCAATGTTAGAGGCAAAAGCAGACAAAGTATACGAGTAAATCAGTAGTATCTGAAGTTGCTGCGTGAATAACCTTTAGGCGTCGGCGTGAGTTGCGTCATACGCGTCTGCTCATGTACTTTTTGTTTATATTTTATCATGGTTCTCTCGCGCATCATATGTCGTCTCGTTTGTTTATCACCACCGCCTCTTGGACTGCTAACTTCGAGCTCACTTGTAGATGGCGGCCTCTGTGTAATGATACAATTTATTAACGTCTAATGTAAATATCCGGCACACCTTTTTCGTTTTTGAAAAGTTTGATTGACTTCGTCTACCTTCTTTCCTGATCGATTAAAATGTGCCAAAGTGGGGGCCTTTTGAAGGCATTAATTTTAAGGAAAGAGGTACACAAATACTCAATGACACGTAATTTTTTTTTGCTAAACAAACCGTTTCCTGAGTGTATTTCTCCATGCCGTCTGCAGTAGCTCTGATAACAGACGAGGACGATTTATTTACGTGATTATTGTGCCTATTTATGCTTTCCCTCGAAAACGCCCAAGGCGGTTGATATTCAATGCAGTAGGCATTGCCGCCTAATCGAGAGCATTCGTAGTTGAAGTTTTTTTCCCTGCCTCCACTTGAAAAAAACCATTAGTGGTACGGGTTAGAAACGCCTTCACCACTCTAGGCGCAAAAGAGGATCTGTTAACCCCTAGAGAGGGAGGCGACGAACTTTCATTGAAACTTGGACGTATTCTTGTGCCTCACCAACTGATGTATTCAACCTTTAATTTTTTTTTCAGTAAAGCCTTGGCCCAGGTTAAACTCACAGATAATTAGTTAAAAAGTATATGCGTCCTTTAGTACATAATCGGCCCCTTGCCTGGCCCAATTTTAACCATGTAGGCAGCACTGATATGATGTAGTGTCCTCTTTGTCTCACAGAATGCTCTTCGTGCCGTGGTGGAGAAGGGTCGAAAGTCCAGCAACGATGAATACCCAGCCATCAAGGTCCTGATTGTCAATGGTGAGCACAATGTTACCATCAAGGTTGGTTTGGAATTTTACGTGACCTATGCTTGAAGTGAGGCATTGTAGATCACTTGATACCTTAATTAATCTTCGTTCCTACTGTCATTGAAGTTTTGTGTGCACAGCTAACCCACATGGAGGGCACTTTGTCAATCATAAAGTGGCTTGCAAAAGCACCTTTTAAATGTCTTTAATTGGCCTCAAAACCTCCTCCTTTTGTTCTCGCTTCCTACAGCAAAACTAATCGTGTGTAAAAACAGGTTTTTTCCGCGCAAACAGTATTCCATACATGATTAACGATGACATGCTGACATGTGACATAGTGATGAAGCATCACGGTTCGCTTAGGTTTTTTGACATGGTCTCTGCATACTTCTCAGCGGAACTCACCCAACAACCGTCGTTTACGGCTTGCATCTCACCTTGATGCATCTGGTTTACGTCTTACTTTTTTTTGCTTTTTTCGATGTGCAAACTCGTCTAGTTCTGGCAGTAAGGGTCGGATGATTCATTAACATTCAAGGAATTTGTCGTTTTGGAACCGGCTTTGAATGTCCTTTCTTTCTTGATCAAGGTTGTGTTTTCATGTGGCTCTAGGTCCTCCACGGCATTCTAGAATGCGTGTCAGATAGTATCAAACTGTTCCAAAATCCCAAAACTGTGCGATCTTTCTTATTAGTAGTTGCTAATTACGCAACATAACCGCCTCTATCTCGCATCTCGTTTTCAAATGTTGCCTTTGGAGTACGGTCACAACCCCGGAGTCATTTGGACTTGCGTAAAAAAACGTTAAGTTCGGGACGATTTATTTGGGAAGCAAGAATTGGGCGCCTCTAACATGCTAAAAGTCCGCATTGTTTTTTTTTGCTTTAATGCAAAGGAGATTATTGTATTTTTCTATATGGGTATGTAAGTACACTTTCTTTTGCAATAATGTGGTTGGGGTCGCATGAGACAACGTAGAAGTGTGTGTGTGTGTGTGTTGTGCTTCGTTGATTGCGCTGGCAGGGTTGTTGCATTTCTCTTCGCGAAGTACTTGAAAACGGTCTTTGTCTTAAGAAAAAACCGTGGATAAATAAGTGGTAAATAACTAATGGTGAATGGGAGGTTGTCAACTGTTTGAGCTGGTGCTTGGATAAATGAGCGCGCAGACAAGTAAATGGTGTACTAGTGGTTGAGTGAATTACTGGATCCGTCAATAAGTGGACGGATAGTTGGATGGGTGATCAAGCTGTTAGTTTAATGGTCGAATGGTCGGGCGAAGAGGAGTGAATAGTTGGGTGAATTGATGGTCAGCACCGACAGCACACCTTTGCACACAATAGGTGACTTCTTTAGTCAGTATATCACTACCGTATATAGGTGAAGATCCTCAAATTCTCTGTGCCATCCACTCAATCCACCTTGCCAATGCCTGTTTCAAGTGATCATTTATCTCAATCACACCAAATCTTGCTAAACAGTGCGGCAAAAATCACCTGGTAGAGCTACCCAGTCACACCCACTCCATCCAACTAATCTAGTTGTCATTTCTCTTACCTCTTCACAGCTCTCGGATCAGGGTGGAGGTTTTCCCCGATCGGTAAATGATCAGCTCTTCCGGTACACCTATACCACGGGCGGCCTAAGGACAGGCCGCAGTGAATCACTCCTCTCTCCCTCGACTGGCTACGCGCCGATTGCTGGCTATGGGTATGGACTGCCATTGTCACGACTGTATGCGCGCTACCTACATGGTGATTTGAGTTTGTCAGGCGCGGAGGGCTACGGCACCGACGCGTACGTTTACCTTATGCGTCGAGCCGCGGATGCGGATGAATTCTTGCCCGTCTTCAATCGCACCTCGGCTCGACGCTACGAGTCGGTGGGCATACCGATTGACGACTGGATTAACCGCAATATCACCCACGAGACGCCCCTCCAAACCCCGTCGCAGATATAGGCAGCCGCCCGTCTTGCCTCCCCCACCCTCCATCTTTGAGCATCACTCCACCCCTCCACGCGCTGCCCGCTTAATATTTTCAAAGAGTGCGGTCCCCTCGTCTCCTCTTACTTTTTTGTACAAAATGAGTACACGCGCCGAACCCAAAGTTCAGAATCAAGTGATTCATACCTTCTTATGGTGTAGTGTTCTCCCATTTTTTCTTGCCCCTTTTGCTGGGGCGGGGGTTTCAGTCTTGCACCTGGGCCCTATCAGGAGGGCACCTTTGTTTAAGCTGAAAAGGCGTCTATTTCAGATAACCTCGTTTTGTCAAGGCTTTGTGTCATTGTCGGTTACTTTCTATAGTTTGATCTGCGAATTTTTCAAGTTCCACCCCATGGGCGACTGGTCAAAATTTTCGAAGCTTGACGCATTCGACTCGAGTGTCACAAGTGTACCTTGTCACCCGGACAAGATTGTGCCACAGACAGGTAGGTGGGCGTCTTCTTGGATCTGGGTTTTCCTGGCTCCAAGCCAACAATGGGGGAACAATTCGCTAAGGGGCTCGCCTATCACAGAAATATAATTTTAACAATGGTGATGTTACACATTTGAGAGATTACCACGGATCGGTAGTCGGATCTCATGTGCGCGATTGTCAACCTCTGCCGTATTTCCGTGACGCTCTATTTTGGATGGACGGATGTAGCTGTCGCACATATGTGACGCGCTAATGGAAGTGATAGGAATTACGATTTAGACGTAGTTGGAAACGTTCTTCCTTGAAAAAGATTTCAGTGAATTAATTTGGCTCGAGTGCTTGCGTCTTCTTCTAATCGAGCTCAAGTTGCGGACATCGCTTTATTATTGAGTTGTGGAAAGGATTTCCCCCTTTTACAGTCTAATACGGTCTTTCGTTTCCATTTCCTTCCATACTTCATTGCTTTGTGTACGCACGACGGCACACCTCAAGGTATTCAATGATCACGTGACGTCATGTCATCCCCAGGGTCTGCGCAGTGACCTTGCAAGCCCATTGGTCTGTGCCTGTCAGCAGCTTGTCCGCCTCGGATACACATCCGTGGGCCGTGGTACCTTCGCAACCGGGATTCGAATGTCTTCGTTTCTTTCAAATAGGACACTTCTGTGGTAGTTGGAGTCTATCCCTTACAATAAAATCTGAGGTATTTTGCTTGACAGCTGGTTTCTTCCATTAGAAGTTCAGACATGGTGGTCACTGATTGACGTAGGGTGGATGTATAGCTGGCCCCACAAAAGATGCTCTACTGATAACAACTACAACGGTCTTTCGGGGCAAATAATTGGTCATTTCATCAATTTGTCCCAACAGAAGACCAAATAGCACGATGATAATGCTAACCTTGACGTTAACGGTTGATTTGTCTTTCGGAAGCGATCCCCAAGGAGGACGTCTGGGGAATTGGACTCAAAATCAACAAAAACTGCTTCAGACTTTCCTTTAGCTTGATTAACCGTAGATGATATTTTACTTGATTTGTTTACCTCCGACAATAATCATTGGTTTCCTCCATAAAATCGACACCTCGGTGAGCGCGTTTTTTCGCTTAAATTTATGCTAAAATAAACTTCCTTCTATGCCACTTTATATTACTTGTTGAAAATAGAGTGCACAAGCTGGAAGAAAGTGTTGAAGTACCCTTTTTTTTACGGATTTTGGCAGCCCTCTGTCGAACCAAATAATCATGCGGTGCTTACCACTGGATGTGCGCATCCTATTGGTCATCGCTTGCATCAATTTGATTGGCCAATCACCATTGTCTCCCCTTCGCCCTTTCACTGAGGCAGCGAAGCAGGGATGGGATCACGCACAAACTGCGTGATGAATACGTGCCCAGATTAAATGTTGCCATCGCTAGGCAGCTACCTTTGGGGAGTGAGTTTACCCAATGAAAGGTAAAGTACACCTTCGGATCGAGAAATTTAATGTTTTCTGAACTCTGTCATTAAATTTGCTAGTCGTAGCAAATGTGTGGACGAGTTCGCGAAAAACTTATTGAGAATCACTTGCTCCGCCCTCCCTTCCCTTTGTTTAAGTCACTGTTGCCTCCATTTCTGTGTAAGGGACTCGCGTCACCGCCATTGCTGCGCTCTAAGCTTGGTTTGGGTCGCTGAATGGAAGTATTTCATTTGTCTTTTGGAATCACCGTTTTCTACCTACAGCGTTTTACTACTCAAGTCTGAGGCGTTCTGGTCTTCTCGGACGGGTAACATCGCAAAGTTACTCGCTTGGTCTAATTTCTCTACCAGTAGAATGGGAAGTTGCAAGACCGCTTCCTCCGCCCCCTTGATGACAAAAGTCAACTGTTGAAGGTTTGGTCAGGAGGCCGATTTTGTTCCAGAAGTACCTGCCTCAAAGATAACTAATCACAGGAAGCGGAGGGGGGTGGTGTGGCAGGACAAGCTTGAAACATCAAATACCAGCCCTCCTCACTCGTTTAGACATAAGTTAGGTTTTTACTTCGGTGATGTTATTTAACAGCCAAATTTTAGAGAAGGAAAATGAAGAATATCGCAGAGATTCTCACTTGAAGTACCAGTAAAGGGTGATTGAGTTAAAGAAGCAATTAAGTAAGGTGCCTTCCATAATTTTTCTTTCATCGTAAAATGCGTCATTTTGTTCTCTCTTATTGGAAAAGAAATTGACACAATCCACCACCACGCGTATCCCCGCGGTTTTGAGGGCAACATCTGGATGTCATACCCTCCTGATCTTCAAATCCGCCCATATGTCGGTAATGCGCGGCGCCTCTCCTACTGCCGAGACTCCCTTGAAGCCGTAATAGGAAGTATCAATATAGCTGGCGTAGAAGGCCAAATGGTAGAGTGCGTGTAGATAAATGCTTATTTTCTGTCGCCATGCAGCCCTGCTTCTGCTTCGTGGTCCCCACGATGACCATCGCTAGGCCCACAACGCTTAACATCGGCAGGTCTGATTGGGTTGTCTGAATATCACAGTCTGCGAAAAAGAGGAGCGCATGGATAAGAGGTTGTTTGGGAGGAAGTGCCAAAAACAAGGTGAATTTGTTTACTGTCTCCCTAGAACTGCAGTAAGGGCATGGATGATATAGGCATGACCCACATCCCACAGAGCTTAGTGAAAGTACAGAGCGCGGAGGTTGTCCATTAAGACATGTTGAAACGCTAGAACTAAACCTTCGGTAATGGTCTAGCTTATAACCCCTAAAGGGATGACGCTGATGGCGGTGGTGGTGAGGTAGTGGGAGGAGTCTTATAAGCAGCTAAGCGCAACTGGGATCCACTCACGAATCGTTAACAGTGGGGGAAAGTAGTCAATGTAGGCTCTCAATTTTTTAACTTCTTTCAAGTTTCTTTTTTGGGTGTTTAGTAATAACGCGCCTATCTTAGATTGTTTGTGTCCTGGCTGAGAGACTGACTGACTTGTCCCTAAGGGGACCGCCGACTTGGCACAGCTTTATGTACCAGATAAGCTTTCTTTTGTAGAAGCGTCCGCGAATGGACAAATCAGCGTTGGACTTTATGCTTGATGCTCCAAGTATTACTCGTGAGAAGACGGCATCCTAAGATGGGACAAAGGTGAGACCACATTCTCAGCTCGGGGATTACCACCTCTCGGCATCAGGCGGCGGTTATGTGCATGGGCTTGGATTCAGCAGAGCTCTCACCGGACGTAAATCCGGCGACAACGACTTCACTATGGACATATTTACCGGCTGACGACTATGCCTACGCGATGAAGCCTAATTTCCACGTATTCATAACCTCTTAGATGACCTTGACCTGGTTAAAAGTACATGTACCAGTTGCCAATGCCATGTAAGCGCAACCCATGGTAGGCTCTAGAATGTCTGTTGAATTCAAATTCCGATAGCAAACTTGTGGAACGGCAAAGGAGGAATGTGTTTTCGGACTAATGTGAATATTCCCCAGCATCACGTGCTTCGTTCAATTCAAAAGGCAAGGACTGGATGGTTTACCTCTTGCCTTACTAATGAAGGATAGTATCGTGTATTGGTGCGTGAACGATATGCAGGAGCTGGGTGACATGGAGCCAGTCTGGGGATCTAATCAAAGGAGACTGAAGAGACCCCCATTCTTTGTGACTCACGCATGGTCATTTGTCAGCACCTACCATTGTCTACAGACTGGACCCAAAGAGAATACATTGATTTGTTGCTAAGAGGAGGTGATGAAAGTGGCACCAGGACGATGATAAACAGCGTCCATTCGTTGCCCCTATCTCAACTCCGTCCTTCCAATACTGGTTTTCTTCCACTTTGAGTTACATCTTCCTACAAGGGATGCTACTTACATGGTCCCCTCTACGACAGACTTATTCGCATCAGGATGGACGGCTGCCGCCTCGATTGATATAGACTCTGCTCACCTGGGTTAGGTTCGCTTGTTACTGCCATCGATGAAGCGCTCGGGAAATGGCCAAAGGCATAATAAAGCACCACTAATTTCTTTCCAATGCTCACTGTAAATTAAGCTTTATAATTGGTGCAAAATTGATTAGATTTGACAGGGGTTGGTCACTTTTTGAGGTTTAAGGCACCAGCTCACCATATACACGAAGCGGTTTTGGACGTTTTATTTCTTAGAATCCCTTTTGTGGTGGTATGTTTGCCTTTCTTGGGTCTGTGCAAAGTAAGCAATTTAGGCCACGAAGGCTGGAACAGATAACGGTGACTTCATGAGCGCTTGCGGAGAGGGGATCTACAAAACGTAACTGAGGTGTTATTAGTACGTCCAACTCATGGGCGTGAACCGCCTTGCGAGGTCACGACGTAGAGCCCAGCATAGGGTTGTGTCTGAGAGAAAACTCAGGAGGAGTTCCTGATGGTGTGATAAGGAATGAACTGTGTACAATTACTTTATTTTTCTTTCTGCCATCATATATGAGGCGTTTAAAGGTTGACTTGGGCAGGGGCCCGAACACTATCAACTCCGCCAGACACAAAGGTATACATTGTGATTAGACGCATGGGAACGAGAGGAGATTGAGCGGCACAAATGGGTAAATTTGAAGGGGATCAATTTAGCAAGACCCAAATCAACTTCATCATTCTGTGCTCTAATAATGTTGTTTAAATCACGTATACTATTTATCGACTTCTAAGCAGACTTCAAAACACACATTTAATTTTTCAACATTCTCAATTAACTCTTAAAGCTTTAAGAAGAAGAGAGAGGGAGGGCGATTTATATCATCTGCGGTGGTTCGGGTCTTCTCCAAAGTCGTAAGAAATCAAAAGACCATTGCAATACTACCAGAGGTCTGAAAGGCCGCAGGCATGGGGCCGGACACCATTTCGCTGAGTTAAAGCACAATTTGCGCAGTCCTAATTGCCCGCGCAATTAGGCGCAAAGTTAAACAAGCTATTACAGCACTACATCAGTCACGCCAGGTAAGGTAGGCCGCGTATTGACGTGCAGTACAATCCAGCCGATTTCATCTCGACTTCCAAAAATATAAAACTACCCAACTGGGAATCGTTATGCTTACCTTGGAGGTTAAACGGCGTCATTATTCGTAATGATGGTGAATTAAAACATGTTCATAGTCCGCACACATTTACGCATACACTAACGTCATACGCACAACCTCAGCAGGGAAAACAAATCAAATATTTAAACAAGATTAAATTGATAAACAAAATAGGTTTATAGGTTACTAATACGTGTTTAAATGAAGCAAATAAACTGTAGCTGTTTGTCTCGATTCGAAGTATGCTTAATAGGGCGGATTTCAACGCTATTTAGATTACACCATGTGAGGGCATTTGTTTGTACAGTATGGTTTCTGTAGGATCTCAACTATTCACGTACCTTTGGCCGTTATCACTAGGGTTGCATTTGCATATTTTCACAATTTTTGTTTTAAGTGCATCAAGTCCCATGAGCATTTATGCGGAGATATTTCCTCGCTCGTGAATCGTGCAACGACGGCAGAGAGAAATGGAAAATGCAGAATATCTTTCGTCTTTAGTTCTAGCCAAGTTTCCTATTTTTAAGGTGTAGCTAGGACTATCTTATAAGACGAACAAACCTTATTCCGTTTTACTGCCACGGGGCAACTACAAGATAAATGGCCGCTACAAGCACATTCTACGCCAAATTTTAGCCTCCAAGTGACCACTTAGTAGGAAACCTTATCATTGCATTGCAAAGAGAAAGGGTCGAAATGTAAACAGTTAATGATCAACGCCTGACAATGTCACACAAATATGATTGCCAGCATACAAATAAGCTAACTTTAAACGAAGGGAATTCATTGACAATTTAACGTTAATGAATTATTTAACACTGCTTTAATCAAAAATCACCGAAAAGTTTTCTGAATGCTGTTGGAAAAATTGTTCGTAAAGCCTAAAAAATATTTTTCATTTGCTGACTTTGAAATATGGCTCTATACTTTATATTATAAAATTTACTTGAGCGTGACCTTAATATAATCAACGCCAGCCAATAGCACAGGAGCTGACGCAATTATGCCGTAAGAACACTCTATATATTGTCAAGATTTACTTTCTAAGCAGGCGGGATTCCTAACATGGCATCAGAAGTGGTGGGTATGGTCTTCCCATATTTCACTTTGGAGATGTAACTTTTGAGGACTTCGTTGAGTTGATCGGTGCTTTGGCGGGCTGCAGTGGACGCAAGGTACGCACTTCAATGATTTCGAGGTTTATTAGAGATGGACCGAATGGTACTACTGCACATTTTCTTATTGATTTTATTGACCTAGGCTCGTTGCACAAGGACACGGCTCTGGTTTTGAAGTTACTTTTGCCGAAATCTTCCCCCAGAATATTTAATGTTCAAGATAAGCAGTTAATCAAGTATTGCTCCGACATATTTGATACTGACAAAGAAGCTATGCTGAAGGATTTGGAAAAGGTAATTATTGTCGCATTTAAATGCAACGCTTGCAGGGAGACGTTGGCATGACTCTTTTTACTTTTTTCAAAAAAAGTGCGGCAGTTCAACCATTGAAAAAAAGTAAGGTTTCTTTAAAACAGGTACGCACATTCCTTTAGAGCTTGCTTATTCTTCTGCTCAACCAAGCTAATATCACTTTTGTTGTAGGTTGATCAGTGGTTAGACGAACTGTCAAACGCCAGTGGAGACAATGATCGGACGACTATTCTGTCGAAGTGCACAAAGTCATGCACCGCCGAAGACTTTCTTGTATTCATTCGTCTTATCAAAAAGGATCTACGCATTGATGTTGGTTCTAAACAAGTGTAAGTTTGTCTTTTTTAGCTATATCGACAAAATTATACGTAGTTTTTTCATTGTTTTGGATTCCTTGATATCAGTCTAGACGCACTGGGACCTCAAGCCTACTCCGCATTTCAAGCTTCGCAGAACCTTGAAGCCGTTGTAGAGAAGGCACGAGTCTCGTTAGACAACGGGAAACGACGACTTAGACGTCAGGATTTATCGGTGTCGATCAAACTCATGACGCCGGTAAAACCGATGCTTGCTGAACCGGGTCGTTCAGCGGACGCAATTATCTCGAAGATTTCCACGTTAGGTGGTGCACTGGTAGAGATCAAGTACGATGGTGAGCGAGTACAGGTGCATAAACAGGGGGACCGATTTGTCTACTACTCACGGAGTCTTAAACCTGTTCATTCGAGCAAGGTTGGTCAAGTTACTTATCAAGTTTGTTTTTATTGAATGTGAAAAAATATGCATATATATTGACTGGTGAAAGGTTGATTTTTTATTCTACTACAGGCACCAAAATAACATCACAGAATTTGGTGTTTTGCTGCAATTTGGTCGAGCAACGTAGAGATTGATATTGTTTCCCTGAATATGAAACATTTCGTTCTCTTAACCTTTGATTTAACAGGTGGACCACCTCAAGGAGTACATCCCCAAGGCATTCCCAACTGCTGCCGATTTGATTTTGGACTCCGAAATTCTTCTTCTCGACACGAACACCCAAAAACCACTGCCTTTTGGCACTCTCGGTGTTCATAAGGTGGAGTTCATCAGTAAATACTCAAGCTGCATCTGAAATCGTTTTACACCGTACAGGTCTGGAGATAATGCCATGCAGTAGGGCTGAGAGAATTGTGATTTATCCCTAGAGTAGGGTCTAATTGGTGAGTGGGATAGTCTGTAGACCCATCCTAGATTGACTCGAATCCTTCCTGAACCCGCCATAGGGTATTCCAGTGGGGTGTTTTATTTGTAAACAGACGAGTTGGTGGGCTGAAGATATGGCCGCAAAGCGATGCACAGAGGTCATAATTTCCTTCTTTGAAGTCTTAAAAGCCCGTATATTTAATTTGCCGTTTAAAAAAGTATTGTTTGATTATTGTTATTGTAACTAGAAACTTATCTTCTAATTTTTAGAGGAAAGGGTTTGAAGATGCCACAGTGTGCCTCTTCGTCTTCGATTGTCTCTACATCAACGGGAGAAGTCTCCTTCTCGAGTGAGTGACATTAATATTACACCCTCATCAGATTGGCTGGTTGTCGGATGGTTCTCTCAGTCACTCTTTTTTACATAGCAACGCTATCAACGCTTTTAAACACATCAAAATTGTTTCTCAGACCTATGTACAAACGACGTGAGATTCTGGAACAGAACATGACTGTCGTGCCAAACAGGGTGCTGTTTTCTGAAAAACACGAGGTCAAGGTTTGTTCAATCACCTTGATTTATTCTTTGGAGTACAAAAGTTTAACTGTTTAAGTGTTTTCATCCAAATCAAACTGCATTGGATACTTAGTTGGAGGAGTTTCAACGCCATCTGAAGGCGTTAATATGTTATCTACCACCGTCATGTATGTATGACACGCTGACCCCGCTCATCTGAACTTGGCGCCATAAATGTGTCATCTATTCTTTATTGAACTGTGCTAATTGATCGCACAAAATCGTAACTCATGTAGATTGGTTCAGTTTAAGATAATAGTATTGGTGTAGAACCCAATTTTTGTTAAAAGCCACTATCATATTTCTAGAAAAATTTTCATTTTGCAGACAAAACGCGACTTAAACGAACTATTGGCTCATGTATTTGCTGAAGGCTTGGAAGGTCTTGTCGTTAAACCGAAGAATGTGAGTTTATTGTTGGGCTTTAATGCCCCTGACAGAAGGATATCATTATGCTATGCTGTGTTCAGTGGTTTGCTCTACTTATGCAATACGAACGCAATATAGTACACGAGTAAACTAGTTAGATAATACAAGGCACCGCTTAAAAAATGAAGTAGCCGATTGAGGGACTGTGATTGAAAAAAAAAGGCGAAAGAAATAGCAATCAGGATGGTCCTCAAAGTGTATTCATTTGCTTTATCCAATCAAATTGCAGCACTTTGGCCAATGATTGGTGGAATGATGATTGGTCGTTGGATTAGTTAAATTGTGATTGGTTAATACCTGTTCTGGCAGAGTGTCTATGAGCCGGGAAAACGTCACTGGATAAAGATTAAGAAGGACTACCTCGGTCAGGGAACCATGGCCGATTCAGCTGACCTCATAGTCTTGGGCGCTTACTATGGAAAAGGAAGAAAGGGTGAGTCGTGGCCCTATGCAGGGCATTTATGTGTTTTCATATGGCTGTATAAATGCCTGTATTCCCAATATGAAAGTAAGCAAAGGGCAAAATACGCAATTTTGTGTGCGCTACTTTGGACATCTCCCTTAAAATGGTGGAGAATGCATGACACTAAGCGCAGCTTTTTACTCTTGGCGAGGTATTCATTATGATTTTATCAATCAAATCACTGTTGACTCCTCCGGTTTCACTACTTTAGGATCTCTATAGACGAATATGTCTAGTTCATTGATAACCACTGATTGGGTCTTCGCTAAGCGGAGGATCGTAGTGCTTCAGCATAACACGATTCGCTGTCTCGGGACCCCAAAAATGCCTACGATCAGTCTAACCTCTGGCATTGGAAACCAAGATTGGTAGTCTGCTTCCCCTTGCAATGCCATTTGATTGACGCGGAAACATTCAGACGTTTAGAATACATCGATGCGACTGGCTACCTTCTTCATAGTTTTCTCGTGGCCAGATAACGAAGACTGCTCCAGTCTGCGTCGGTTAATTGTCTTAGCCACACAGTTATAGCAACCGATTGACTTTGGACGTGAGGCGGTAATTGGCACATTTAAAGTGCCATAAAGTGTGATTTCAGGTAATGCATGGGAGTTAGTCACGAAAAAGTAAACTGGAAATTTTGATAAGAATTCTTTTCTGAGGTTGGAACCATTTTTGGTGTAATTAAATACTAAAAAGTTGTTTTGGAGCCAGTGATGGGGTGCTTATGTGCTTAAATATATATCCCACAACCTAATTCCCATATCATCAAGTTGTTTGCCGAACAACGGGATCTTGTCAATGGTAGTAAAATTTTTTCACTCTATTCTACATTGAATTCTTCAGGGGGACTGATGTCTGTCTACCTAATGGGGTCATACGACCCGACAACGGAGAAATTTTGCACCGTCACGAAAGTTGGAAGCGGTTTCAAAGATGACACTCTTTTGCGTCTACAAAAACAAGGTCAAATGATTAAGATCTCGAAGGTATTGTTTGTTGTTTATTTTATATTTTCTTTCAACCAACCATCTTTAAGACTATGTACACATCCAGCACTCCGATTTGTAGGACTACTCTAAGGTGCCCAAGTGGTTGAACGTTTCTCGCTGTTTGGTCCCAGATTTTGTTGTAAAGGATCCAAAGGTTTGCCTTAAATGCATTCATTCATGTATCACGGCCTCATTTCTCCCCCTCGTCCCTCCCTCCTTACCTTTATTCCTCTTCCAGAAATCACCTGTGTGGGAGATTACCGGCGCCGAGTTTTCGCGCGCCGGATCGCACACCGCAGGAGCTAGCGCCACACAGGAAGGCATCTCTATACGCTTTCCACGAATCACTCGTCAACGCCCCGACAAGACGTGGCGTGAGGCGACGGATGTGCCACGACTGGAGGCCCTTCTCGCCGCATCGCACACTCAGCCTGATTGGAGTCGATGGCTAGATATCATCTCAAGGCCTTCCAACCAAATGGCTTCGAAAGATGTACTGAAATGGACTCTAGAGGGGGAAGATGAGGATCTGAAGATGAAGGAATGCGCAAAGGTGACCTCGATTGTTTGCCCGCCATTGACCTGATTGGTGCGTAGAGCTAGGAGTAATTTCATTGGTCACTTAAAATAAGGTAATTTCTTAGTCAATCGGAACTTTTCCGCATTTCTGTAGGTTTTCCAGTGGACAATATTGGGAATAGTATGCGCATGGTTGATATATGCTTTTACCAAACTCGAGTAGATTCTGGTGGTATTGTCAAGCCAAGTTATTCGAAGATGCACATTTGAATCACAGGACGTTGACAGTTTGAAAGTGTCTATACTCTCGTCTGAAATAGTAAAACCATGGCAAGGAATCGTGATTATTTGTGCTTTAATGTGTTGTACGACTAGTTCTATCTGGTAAGCCTGCCGGAATTTGTATGCGGTATGCATAAACAAAAACTACTATTATGGCATATCCTATACATCATGGTTGGAACATGTGCCGTCACCGTTGATCTGCGCAATGGAATTGGAGTGCCTTGCATGTGGTAGCAAGAAAGTCGAGTAGGCTGTGAAGAGACTCAAATCTATGACAAAATTAAACTCGATCAAGTTTCTGTCAAGGGATAGATTATGGCTTCAGCATAGGCGCTTAAACGCAGTCACTAAAACTCGGAAAAAGATGAGGGTTTTATTCATATGATATTAAATCTACATAGGTTCTAGAAATCGTCTTCCATTTCATGTTCTGCAAATAAAACTACTTAATTATTCATATTTTAATAATCACTTAATAGTGCCTTTGTTCATTTCTCAGTCACTTTCTGATTAGGCGTCTTTTTTGCTCTTCACGATGGAAATCCAGCCACTTGTAAATTTACCAAGGTAATGAAAGCAGTAAGGTTTTGCCTTCGACATAGAATATTGAGTGGATGAGAATTATGCGGAGATCATTTCTTGGATTTTCAGAAGCCCTGTCTTAAACGGATTCGGGATTCTTACCAATTCAATTACCTCCGACCACTGCTTGAAGGTTTTGTAATTGAAGTACCCAAGACCCTGATTGACGATGCCTCCTTCTACCCACTCTACCGCCGCATGGTTGCTTGTGGCGCTGTCGTCGTTGGAGATGGCCTTCGGCATTCCATGATGACTGCGACTCACGCCATTGTTTGGCCTGATGAGACGCGATCATCACCACCTTCGGTTAGCGTGATAAGCATCCCCTACTTATAAGCGCGTTAAGTAGCGTGTGTCATTTGACATTTATGTTTTAGGGTAACTTGATCCCGTTGACAGTTGAATGGTTGGATAAGTCGATAAATGAGAACGTGCTGCAACCGCTGCCTGTGAAGTGCCTTTAATTTATTTGGTTTATTTCATCTTGATAGTGCTGTGATGACTTCTTGTTCTAAGGCCTGGGATCCACGTTAATTCCTTATTTTTTTCTTTTGACACGTCTGTGATGCATTCTCGTTTCGACCTTAATTTGTACTTCTCTTTATCATTATTCGCTGTGATAATCTGAAAAGGGACACCACATTTCTTATCACCTTTTTTTTTGTGATTTTCCTTAAATAAAATTATCATTTGCACCTCTTTTATTATCTTTCTAAATTGGCTTAACATTATCTGATTCAGAGTTTGATGAATTGTCCACCGAGCCAGTAAATAACCTGTTACAAAAGTAGCACAATTTTATGGATAATTGTCGTTCTCTTTTCATCTCCTTCCTAATTTAATTTAATCTAAATGTCTGAATGCTGGTCATAATAGGGTGTCTTTGTTTGCGCAATTTGTTTGCACCAACAATGAATATACTGTAGTTGCTTAGATTTTCGCAAACCAATGACCTCAACTAGAAGCTAAGGTCTAGAGCTAGGCTGGGTAGTTAGATGGCACAAATAAGATTCCAGGAATGTTTTGTTTTTAAGGTAATGGAGGTAGGCAGTCTCCTGTATTTTAGTCACCTAGAGCGTACACTGCCTCCCTGGGGTGGTACCACTACTTACAGCAATTCCAGCAGTCGTTACGTGTGAGATCACGGATAGCGCTTCGCCGATTTTACACAACTTCGCAGTTATTTTTGATAAAGAAGCACTGCTACCACCTTTAAAAACCCACCTCAACAATGAAAAGAATGAAGCCAAAAGAAATGGAGGCTGACCCCTGCCTGAACCTCGAAGGCAGAGCCGACACAACCCCGGTGCTTTCACCGTTCTATAACATGCGAGTGCTGACGCTACCGTCCGAAATAGTGGTGAACCCGACCAGCTCAATTTCGTTTGGGTTGCACCACGTTCCGCCCCTGTGCCAATACTATATTCACCGGCCACCGCGTGTGTGCGTACCGATCCTCCACTTCAAATTCTCAGATGCAAGAGTCAATCTGTCGGAAAACTAACAGCTAACACACAAAAAATATAATCAAAAGACTACAAATTTAAATGGCTCGTATTCATACAAAAGCTATTCAAAAAGTACTTCCTTTCAAATGAAGCACAATATTTGATCGAAGTCCACTTTCACGTCCGAGGGCATTTTATGTACACATACTAGCAGGTGAGAATCTCCTCACTTCCTTCTCGTCCTCTTCACAGAAATCACGGATTTTTTTGATGAAGATGATTCCTCAGTCGCCTCCTCTATCTCCACCTCCGACAGACGTCGTTTTTGGCCCTTTGGGATCTTTTTAGGTGATATCTGTTCCGTGGTGACTTCATTTGCATTCTCGTCCACTTCTAACGCCTCCTTTAATTGACATCGCTTTTCCTTTGCTTTAGAAGGCTTTGTCGACTCTGCTTCGACCTCTTCCTTCTCCTCCTCCATAATCACGGTGTTCAATAGATGCAGTTTCCTCATCTTTGACGACTTCTTTGAAAGCGGGACTTGTTTCGGTTCCACATCTACTACCTCTCCTCCCTTATTGATGTTACCCTCTGGCTTATCCGACAGCTGGCGCTTCATCAATTGGCTATTCGATTTCGTCTTCCCTTGCTTTAACGACTTTATCGTCGGACTGGCGGCCGCCCTCTCCCCATCCTCCGGCACAGGTGTCGGAGCGGCCTCGACCTTTTCAGGGTACAAGACAGCTCGCATTTTAATGGAGAGAGCACTAATCTTTTGTAAATTGAACGACATGTTGCGGATCAGGCAGCAGACTTTGGCGTACTCCTCGTTCTCAGCAAGCATCGAGGCCCTGTATAACTCTAAAATGAAGCATAGTGAAAGGCATTACGGGATTGTGATTAGTAGCCTCATTTCAGTATAGGTTGATGCTTTCGTACGCAAATGATTAAGTCACGTCGCAGAGGTAACCCATCCAAATGGCCACTTTTGCAATGGCACACATTAAAGTGAATTAAAAAGGAACCAAGTCATGCGACGAAATATCTTTAAGGTAAATGGAAGGCAACTCCGAAATCGAGTATTCCAACTAATAAGAAATTAGTTGGAAGAAAACAAACCTAAAATGGTTAATAATGCTAACTATTATCTGAATGGAAATTAGTTATTTGAAGAGTCAAAACTAACCTAAGCAGCGGCTTTCAATCCGAAGAAAATTAAAAAATCTCAATCGTTTGACCAATCATGTCAAAGCCAACTGCATTGATCCCCTATGTGGTTTCCCTTCCCCCCTTCGACTTTCACCGCCCTTTTTTAAAGAAAATGGTTTTTATTTGCACACAAAATAGGCGCTGACGTCACCACTATCAATAATAACAATTGAACAGTTTACAATGTGTTATTATCACAGATAGATAGAACGTGGACTTGGACTGCCACGGAACAACCTTCAGTGCATCCAGATAAATATATTAAGGGCCTAAACCCTCCTCTAATTTTGTCGAAAAGTAGACAAGACAAGCCCGACTTACTCAAGATAACCTTAAAGAGATTCAGACAAGTGGGAGTGGCCCAGGGGCGCCAGGTATTTCGCAGGATGAATCGTAGGAGGCGCGCCAACCCCTTTTCCGTCTGTCCTCCCACTGCGGCGGGAAGGGCGCCACGACGGGACAGCTCACGTACCACTGCCAGCACTGCGAGCGGAGCCGTAGCGGCCACTGCGTCAGCGTTGGGCGAGCGCTTGGAGGCGGCACGCGCACGTGAACCGACTCGAAGCGCCTCACTCAGTGCCCGTGAGTGTTGGAAGCCTAGCAATCTGCTGGTAAGTCGGGCGATCTCCGCCGGTTCGCGAGTTCTTCCAGCGCTGCTACTAGCCCCCGAGACGCGCGAAATTGTTGTGTGCTAAGGGGGGAGTGAAACGTCTGAATATTTGACAGTGATATCTTTGACTAACAAGGATTAAAAGGAATTTAAAACAAACGGACCTCGTGAATAAGTGGTGCTCTAGATCCCTTAAAACCCCAATCCTTTGGAGCAATGCGAGTTCCAACTGTGGCAGGTCGTTTGAACCACTCCTCAGTGGTGAGCGCCTTATCTCCTTCTTCCAAATTGATGCCACGCCATTTGCCAGAGAATCGAGAAACCATCGCTTTCAATCGGGGGTCGACTACAGCAAAAGGCTCGTCCGTATCAGCATTGGTATTATTTCTCTTTTTCCCCACCTGCTCCAACAGCTGCGAGGGTGTGGTAAAGGAGAATGTTCGGACGAGACCGCTCTCAGTGCCAACCACAACGTAACTCAAGTCCGGCTACCAGGAAAGAGAATAAACACAGAATTTTGCCACATCAATTCAAAATCAAGCAGTCGACATACAAATGCGCCAAGAGCTGTGCAGGGAGAAACAAGACGCTCCTGGTGAAGCACCTCGAAGGTGTTGAGGCTGGTGATGCGAAGGAGTCTGTCCATTCCGGTGGAGAGGAGAAGCGGATCCTGATGTGCATCAAAACATCGAACCACAGTGAGACCGGTGATGAGTTTGTAGTGCATATAGCCGCCAGGATGGGTGGAAACATTGGGCGCATCAAGGCCATTCTGGAGAAAAGGCTTCCCGGTAGACGATTCCCAGGTATAGACGTAATGATCCGCTGCCGACACGACAATACTATCATCACAGGCGAGATGAAGTGCAGATGGTGTGGACGGCAGAGTAAATTTATGAGTCGGCTCAGGCTAAAAAGCGTCGCTAGAAAAAACTTTAATTGGTCTAATACCTGTCTCACGTCATAGAGAGTTATGGTCCCGTTAAAATCACCAACAGAGAAGAGGTTAGTGTTCACTCTGCCAGCGGCCATACAGCTGGGAGGCTCGTGACCTTGGCTAACACGAAATTTAGAATGTAATTCGCCAATGGAAACGTCCCAAACTTTGACAAATCCATCTTCCCCAAGACTTATGGCTTTTAGACCGTCACACAGGAAATTTGCATGAAGAACATCACTATAAGGTGGTAAACTAAATGCAAAACAAAAGATACCCTTCATGTGCCTGAAATTTTCGGAGATGGTAGGTGTTCCTATCTGTGGTACAAAACCGCAAAAATCCACCCTTCTCTCCACCGATGATCATTTTGCCATCAGGACGAAAATTGCATGAAGTGACAGCTTTTGAGAAACCCCCAATCCTTCGGTGTTTTACATCAGTTGATGCCTTGTATATGATGATCTACTCCATTATAGTGCAAATTACACAAACTAACCGATCTCCCTTTGGGGACTGCGTATCTATAGGGCAGTTTGTGGTTGACGGCTATACAGCTGATCCGATTCTCCATAAAGAAACGCCCATGTTTCTAAAAGGGTGTTACTTCATTCGATTCAGCTGTGTACCTTAAAACAGTCCCAAATACTTTCATCGTATCTCTTTGTTTCATACTCAGATACGACCCCGGCACGTCTTATCATGCTGCTCAGTACACAACAGTCAACTGGAATTTAATGCACAAAAGAACCATTGAACGCCAGATTCAAACATCATCGACATTAGTTTAATCTAGTTTTCAGATAGATAGAACTCGAATACTTGAACCTTAAAATAACGACCTTAATAAATAAAATCATACTAAAATGGTTTTAAGGTTCAGAATTTGACTTAGTAGACTAAACCTCTACTTAGTTTTCAAACTTAATAAGTTAATTTGGTTCCGCCTCAACATAAGGGAAACACTTTCGCCATATTTATTTACTTAAGCCAAAAAATGACCATACCCCTCCTGCTTATATTCGTTATACATTGTAAAAATGACCTTCCCTGAAACTGTAATAAGTGATTTGGGCCGATGATACGGTAAAAGAAAGCATTTTTGTAGGGTAGTTTTAGAACGAGACCCGTAGGTCTCCTCTTTCCTGTCCCTTGAACTTCTAAAACAACCAGGCTGGTTTAATTTCGACATATTTATTGGGAAAATTAGTACAGGGATTAGGGGGTGAGGATCCGCAAACGCTCTCCAGCTTGCAGGATGTCAGGAGGTTCAAATTGCATAATTACCTACTCTCTGAAAGAAATATCAAAATACTCAGGGAATTACATAGTCATAATACGTCTGTTGTTTATTTAACGGTCAGTTTTACATGTTGTATCCCACCTGATGGGCTGGCCTTTGGGCAATGTTAGTAGCCCTAGCATCTTCTCTATGTCAAATATATATATATTCTGCCTGAGTGTTAAAACTTTCTTTGTCTTTAGAAAAGTCTCTAAGTGTCACATTAGTGGCATCAAGTGGCAGACCTAATCCTAGAGAATACATGTACTTATTTTGACTGCTGGGTGTTAAACCTTAGCAGAGCGGAAGTACATAGCCTAGAGAAGAAAGAATCTGTGGTGGCCCTAAATAGAATGGCCAAAATTGGCGTCCACCTTCAGCAACTTCCCTAATTACGTGTTTTGCAGAACAGCTATTAATAACTGAAATGAAACTGGTCGTGAAACATCTAAAATAGTTCCGTTGCGGAGATTCCCTACCCTACATGTACAATGCTGTCAGTAAAGTAAACTAGTGACGTGGTAATGAGGAAGAGAGCAAAAACCTTTTGCAAACCTCATAAACTTTTTCCTTTCTTACCTAAGTCTGCTTTTAGGCCAGTGTTTCAACATTTACCCATGGACGCGCATGATGACCAGCGCAATTTCCTGTCCCGAAATTCGGTTTTTGAACAGAACAAAGCTTTAGATTTGGTTGAACCGTCGAAAGGGAGAGGTAAATTTACAGAAGAGTAGCTCCTCAGATGCATAAAATGTTGACGTCTACCTTCAGCATCTCTCCCAGTCCCTTGTTCTGTAGAAAAGCTATTAACAACTGAAGCGAAACCAGCCGCGAACCACCTGGATTTTTTCGTTACGGATTTTCCCCACCGTCCCCCATGGACCTGTTTTAAATCTTGTACTTCCTTACTCAAATCTGCTTTTAGGCCAGTGTTCCTGCATCTGTCTATGGACACGCATGATGGCCGGCGCAGCTCCCCGTCCTGAATCAAATCCCTGAACCGGAAGAAAATCCAGATCCAATCAAGCTGCCAAGAGGGATCAGTGATGTTGAAGTCAAGTATCCCCTCAGTTGAGCACTAATTTGTTGACTGGCACGGTCGGGTCGCGGGTGCTTCTTTACAGCACCGACTACGTTGTAATGGCTGACGCGGGAGGTTGACATGCAGGAGCGCCGGGAAGAACGCTCAAAAGAGGAGGGATGCTATGTAATACGATAGTGGTTTACCGCTCGGTTCTGGTGAGGCGCCACTTTTGTACTTTGAATAAGCCCCCTTGTACGTCGCTGGGTGGGCTGGCCTTTTGGGCCATGCCAATAGCCCAGACACCTTCTCCATGCTGAATATATATACTGCCCGAGTATTGTGTCTTCTTTCGTCTTAAGGGAGTCTCGGGACGCTACATAAATATATCCTTATAAGTACAGCTAAAGTCGAGCCTACAGATGTAAAACCCCTAATCAAAATTTCACTCACAATATTTTGCTTGATCAAGACTAGCAGTTGTTTTGTATAGAGCTCAACCAAAATTTTAAAAGATAAGCCTTGTGGAGTTTTAAAACAAAGTTAGTTCTAGACGGTCCCTTCAATTAATTTTGATAGTGGTGCATTGTAAGATTTATTCAGCCTTGAAAATTTACTTCAAAACCAGTAGAGCAATATGTGCACAAATTCGCCAATTGCATTTCATATTAAAGCTTGCTTGAGTTGATAGTTAATGAATCTTCCTTTTTAGGATAGCATATCCCCTGGTCCACACTCCCGGCTAAAGCCTGCTTTCCAGCCTTCTCCTCCATCACTTTTTAACACGCTTTTAACCTAACGCACTTAAAACTTACCTTTTAAAGTAGCTAAAATGTAGAGATTGTAAAACGTACAACTCGATTTCATTCTTCTGACTTTTAGTGCGCTTAGTATTAGGTACCCTATTCAGACAATGCCATTATGCTATGGTCCTAACATGCGGCCCCAGGTTTATTGATTCCATTAGGAGGCCTTTTATTGCAATCCGTCAATGTTCACACCTTTTTTACACATCAGTGCCACATCTGAACTACGTCCGTCATGTTTTGCCCAACTCAATCAACTGGTATCCCGGCCACATACGGAAGGGTCTCAAGGATATCACTTCACGTTTAGCTGAGGTTGATATAGTTATAGAACTTCATGATGCTCGCATCCCGCTGACTGGGCGCTGTCAATTCGTAAGGGAAGCTGGTCAAGTAAGTAACTAGTTTTCAGTATAATCTGATCTATTTTCTGCAATTCGCTTCATCGTTTTCATTCTTTGCTTCATTTGTCAGATACGCCCTCATGTCTTGGTAATGACTAAGACAGACCTATCCGAACCAATCAATGACTTCACCAAGCACAAAGAGCTTATCTCAGAAGACCCCTCTTTTGGCCCATTGGACCAACCACCAGCAGAAATCTTTTTCACCAATCTTAAACACCCAGAACGGCAAAAACGTCTCTTGCGCAGAATCCTCACAAGGTAAATATAGTGCCCACGACCACACACATTTATTCCTACCCCATTACCCTTTATTGGTCAAGCCTCGCGCGCACTTGTATTTATTGCAGATTGGCTGAACTAGCACCCCGTTGGTCCGATCCAAGTTCGTCCTTTGTACACGAATTTGCCGACGATATTAGTGAGGATGAAGCCCCGTCTAGCGTCCAACGGTACATCAATGCGATAGTAGTGGGACTTCCTAACTGTGGAAAAAGTAGTCTTATTAACGCGTTACGCAGCTTCGCTCCCTCTACACGCCGTCGGAGGGCGGCAGTGAGAGTGGGGAAGAATGCTGGAATGACACGCAGCGTCGGGGGTCCGGTGGTGATCGCTCGCGACTTCCCCGTGGTTACAGCGGATGGTACGACCCGCGAGCTCTGCACCCTCCGTTTGATCGATACACCTGGCATCCTGGAGCCGAAGGCTCAGACTCTCTGTGGTCAGCTCAGTCTGGGTGTTTGTGGGGCGATGGACTGGAATGCAGTGGATAAGAGTGGGTTATTTGTTATCGTTCTTCTCGTCACTCGTGGTAAAACCGGAGTCCCTCTTGAATAGTCTGAGAGTACTTCTGCTGACTACATGTCGAGTCCTTAATCTGAGGAATCGGACATTTGCATGCAATTGTAAAGCATTATCTGGTTGCATGACCTCTGTCTCGTTTTGGCCATAATCTCAAGTACCCCCTAGTGAGAGCTATTTTGCGTGCGTTAGGGTTATTTTTCGGTGAATTTTAACTAAGCGCGAGATAAAAACGGAGACCACACAAGGATTTTCCGTTGCATCAAAAACTTTTGAAACTTTTAATTTCAATGGTTGCTGGTAATATCGGTCAATTTAGTCTGTTATCTACATGCTGAAACTTTTTTGCGTGGCAATACTTAAGTCACATTTCCTCTGCATATCACTTATCATGCAAACATGTTTCAAAGTAAGTTCGTTCAATAAAAAGTAGTTTGTAAGACACTAACCTAGATTTGACTCCTCTTTCATTGCCTCTTTAGCAGTTCTGACAGCTATCTGAGCTACTTCCCTAACGTTGTATTTCCAGATCTTCCAGTTTTACTCTTAAACAGTTACCTTCAAAGCATCAATGTATTTTTCTCGTCACTTAGGTTTTGAGTTCGGTATAGCTTTCATGTTGGCACTGGTCATGTTACAGATCCATCCAAAGCGAATGTCTTCTATTTCGACAAGATATCCTATTGTCTACAGCATAACGTCTGGGTTTTTTGTGGGACATTAGAGTGTGGAAGTTGCTTTATTGTAAACGTACAGTTGGGCTGACTCGTAGGCCCATTAACATAATGAAGACCTGCTATCATTGACGTAGGGTCTGGATCGCGGGACACCAAGAAATGGTCTGTTTAACATTGCCCTGTTGCAACCCGAGGACGACTAACGTTGTATTCACTAGGACTTGTAAAATGTTGATTAATACGAACTGAACCCTTTCATTTTGGAAGTTGTTATTGTGCAATGTAGTTTAGATTACCTTAGGTCGATTAAAACCTTAATTTTCCTTATGTTTATTAGTGTGAAGTTATCCTGCATAAACCGGTCTAAAAGAGGATAATCACGTAAGATATTCTCAATAGCCTCTTCACATTTTGTCACCTCTACGAAATGGAATAGGTGCGCCACATGTATGTATTCTTTGCTCCACCCACCTATAAGTGATAGGCGATCACATGACTAGCTTCACGCCATTCAATCCGTACTAGCCTAAGGGGTTGATGTATGCCGCTCTTGGGAGCTAGTATTTCGCCATCCCCAAATATCTGCATTTGTGTTCACTCATGATTTCCTTTTGGCGTACAGTCAAACCGGTCTTAACGAGTCCATCGTTCGTTGGTAGATGGGTAACCTGTGCTGGGAACCTTTAGACCTAATAACTACTCTTCTTAAGTGCCAGTTTAACTTATCTGAAAGACCAATTTTAAGACGTTAAGATAATTGGGTCGTACTTGCAGTCCTCCTGGCCGACTACCTCCTCTTCTGTCTGAATGCGCACTCCAACTATCAATACGTAGTGACCTTCGGGCTGCCTGAGCCGACAAGAAGAGTGGATAAGTTATTGGCGTGGGTGGCAGCGCGGCGTCATCTAATTCAACCGCTCCATCATCAAAATCGCCGCCTCGCAGAGGAGGTCGGGGAGAGCTTCCAACCGAAATCCGTAGGGGACCCTGATTTTGACGCTGCAGCAGTGCACTTTCTGCGAGCGTTTAACGAGGGTACTTTGGGCAAACTTACCATTCTGCCGGCTGATGAAGCGCGTGCCGAACCTTGGTTCGTTCCCACCACCTCCTCCAGTCTGTACAAATCAAACAAATAAAGGCCTCCTTCTTCACATGTTAGACGTCTTTTGGTTCCTAAAATCAAGATGTCTGAGAGAGTCATCAGGGATTAAGTGCGTCTTTCTTTTCCAGGCAGCTATGGAGGAGGTTTCAGCATCGAAAGCTGCAAGTCTCGATTGGAGTGAGTTTCTAAAGAAGAAGGAGGAGTTTGCAAATCTACCTGTCCCTCAAGATTGGAAGGGATGGTTTGCCTACAAATTCATCGAGGTAGGTCCATTTTCTGAAGCAAAGATGTTCTTTTGATCTCGTATTCTGGTCCTTTATCAAAACAAAAAGTGCTCAATTTGGGCTTTTACGAATTCGAACAGTATGTACTAGTGCGTTTCTGGTTGATTTACTTTATCGGTAATTGTGCCATGACACCGTCAAAAATTCGTTAAACTTGGTTATTTAGCTTAGCGAATGTCTTCATTTTTAAAAAAGGAATTGTGCGGAGAATCCTCTTTCTACCCTGTAAATTCAAAATTTTTCCGCTAGTTGATCGTCCATAAGGTAGCCAATGGCAACACGGAGTGAGAAATCTATTTGATAATCAAATATCCGACCATTTTTCTCCCACTTGTTATTTTTATGTAGAAATTCCAGCTCGAACCATAGCTCGACTAAAATATACCAGATATTAAAACTTTTTTCCCGATTTGATAAAAAGTCTACCGTATAATAATTGTTTGCATGGTTGTCACTCGGGGACGCTGCCACTGATCAGATTATAGGACGAGATTTTCTTGTATCTCAGTGGTCACTCTTTGCTGTGGAGGATCCCTGGGGCTTCACCTCGACTATCCTGATTTGTGTGACACCACTCTTCTTCCTGAGTGCTATCTTCTCCTACAAATTAGCCAAGATTTTGGAGAAGGAGGAGGAGGAGAAGAAGCGAAAAGAGCGTAAAATCAACGCAGCGCGGGCGGCTGCGCATCGGCACCCGAAGGCGGATTAGGTAAGGCCTTTTACGTGTTAACGCGTCCACTACCCGGGATTAAAGTGGTTTTCTGTTTCGTAATCAATCTTCCATACAGAAGGACGACTGGGTGAAGTACTTAGCGATTGAGCAATTGATGTCTGTTTGAGTTGCATCTTATTCATCAAAGGAGATCACAATTTACTCAACTGTTCTTGGATTAGATTTGAAAGGTGTCACTTATGGTGTCACAGTATTTAAACTGATCTTAGCCCTCTTGGCCTTCTCTGGAGAAGTAAACCAGTGAAGTGTTTTATAAATGCCTAGAACGCTTGATGGGTCATTAGCAAGATCAAAAGGTTTCGAAATCGGAGATTCCAGAGACTGGATAGCCCATGAAAAGTAATGACTAACTGTCCAACATCATCATAGCGATACTTTCATGACTATCTAGAAAAAATGGGCAAGTTTTTTACGGTACCTTGACGAACAAAACCTTTTTATGCCTCAAAGCAGACCTCTCCCTGTGTTAATCCCACTCCCCGAACTTAAATCCTAGGTAGTCGTGGCCACTAAGCCTACTTTCTTCACGATGACTGTGTGATATTTTGCAAGCGGAATGGACAGTCCTGCTTTGAATTGACGGGGACGCTAATATTCCTCGCTATCCAACAGTAGCCGACCTCGTTTACCGTTTATTCATCTTCAGGTGTGTGTTGATCATCTCGGTGTTTGAGAAGCAGATGGGGTATATCATGGGAATGCGGGAAATTTATCATTAAGGCAACGTCTCTTTCACGTTCTCGTCCCCTTTTTGAGGTGCTTTCCCTAAAGCTTTGGGAAAACATTAACGAAAGCCGGTTATATTATTCGGCTGCTCTTGTCTGGCTAGTGGGGAGTTTCAGCAATTTGATGTGGGGTTGGAAATTGTTGACCGAAGGAAAACAACATTTTGTCATGTGTTTGGCATTATAGGCGGAGGAGTGTGCTGAGGACACAAATTAGCCCCTTTTAGCATGCTTTTTTTTTCGGTGTGGGCATAAAGTTACCGCTTTGAACGCCTCTAGAATTTGAAGATAGCCTTCCTGGTGTGTAACGATGGAGACCTTCCCAAGCAACGCTAAACGCAAGGAACTTCGAAGTTGTCTCACAAATGAGGAGTAGTAACTATCTTCTCTTTTGCATGCGACTGTTTGATGTAGGAAAGAGGTGATTCACATCAGGGAACACGGAGGATGTAGTAGTATTTCTGCCTCAGGTGGGTCTGATGTGAGATCTCACAGACCAGTGCTACGGTAGGTGCCACGAGATCCTGCGTTATCGTGCAAGGCTAAGAATAGGACTTTCTTCTGGGTGATTGGCTGGCCTTGGCAATTTCATCAGAAGCTCTTTTCCACAAGTTTGAATTATCTTCCCTGCAACAAGCGGTAATGCCGCTTCTCACTACTTAAGCAGACTACTACTTCGGTAAACCTTCTACTAACTCATTCAGTATTATTTAATCCGTTTGGGTAACCCTCGCTTTCTTGTTTTTCTTTCCAGCTCTGGAGAAGTGAAGCAGTGTTCAAGTGTACTTTTTCCAGTCTTACCCTCTATCGTTATTTTCAAACATTTCCATCTCCCTTCACAACCTTTTTACCGACGCTGACTTGATGTCCGTTTGTTTTGAACTGCGACGACTCTATTATCATGACTTTTAATGTACCCTTTTTCATTACTAAAATCCCACTTTGAATACCATCTCTTTTGTATCTCCGACACCCATCCAGACGGCTTTTGGGTAGAATTGGCTAAACCAGTAAGTAGCCTTACTAAATCGGATAAGATAGTTGGAGAATAACGGGTCAAAACGGAATTGCCATGAGTGGGATGCCACATTGTCCTAAGATGGGTCGATCTAGGCTGAGGATTGAGCATGGCTGATGAAGGCCTGCGTCAAACGGGGTTAGATCGCCTCCACATGGGATACGCCTGCATGAAATTTGAACACTCAACAACATTTGAGGGTCCGACAATAAAATAACCATATACTCGGAGAAAGGAAAAGTAAAACGAGGAAAAGTGGGTTTGACAATGGCTTGTGATTGCTATACTAGTGGCGTTTTGTGGAAGAGGAGGCACAATCAAATTCCGTTTCAGTAACCAAATCTGTACTCCAAAGATGGCCCTAGGAACAAGCCCACATCTCAGCTGAACATATCTACAGATTATCTGTTACTTAATACAACTAGTCTGCAATGTTCTTGTAGTACTTTTCCACGTACTCTCCCACTGTCTTTGCACTTGCCGGTGGCGGCCAAAGCATGTGACGTCGAGTACACAACGTCTGGTGAATCCACACGGCCCACTGGGCCCCCGACATCCGATTATAGTCGGCATAATTGCGAAAGATGATGCGCGAGACGCGCCAACGAGTCTTGCAGCCTCGGCGACGCGAAGTCACCACACAACGAGTCATTATGCGCGTCCAGCAGCTATCTCGTGGCAGGGAGTGCAATTGCAGAGAAGCGGTGTCCTAAAGTGGACAAAATGCCTCCTAGAGATGGACAAGCAAATAGTGTGCCAAATAGGAACATACACGAAGGTCTTTAGGAAGGAGGGTATTCTTGCGAATGGCGTTAAGACGAACTCGAAGGGGGGAGAAGTGAGCAGCGACAATTCGGCGCTTGTAATCGCGAACCATTCGAGCGTCTTGAAAACCGTGCCGGACTAAAGAAAAGGAACACTAGAAACTGAAAGATACCCCACTTTTGCGATTACGATAAGGCGGATAGTCAACGAGTTCTTCCTTCAGTAGTTTCTCATGTCCAGGACTGCTGTGATGCAGTGGAGTGGCGTAGGGCTCGTATCTATGCTGGTGCATAATCTTCTGTGGAATAGACGGTGGCAAGTGTAGTTTGCGAGTCATAAGGAATGGAAGAGTTGTAAGTGGAGTACTCAGTCGGCAGGCGGCAAGCATCGAGGTGATTCGCCGCAATCCCGACATTCTACGCAGTAGCGAAACAAAGGAGAGTAAATAAAACTTAGGTCTTTGATGGACGGATGGACAATGATCAAAAGCAAAGATGTAAGAAAATGGATAAAATTCAACCAATGTAAACTTTAGAATTCGTAGATGCAAATATTCAGAAACGTAAAATACGTGATACGAACAACAACGTGAAATACTATGTGCAAGGACTGAGCACATATGTATGCGTGCAAAATGCGTGGACACAAATCGCACCGCGATTTTATAAAAATCGGTGGTGGTTACTTGGGGTGGAATAGCATGAGATTCACCAAATATTATCAGGGGGGGGGTTATATACAATAAACCTAAGTAACTATTTACAGAAAGCGATTCTACCGTATAGTTGTAAGACGTGCAGCCACACAAACCAACCCGGGGATAGAACGGGGCAATGACTACGTGGGTTAATTCGTGCCGAAGCCAAACATGCAACAACATTTGCACTAATAGCCCGACAATAATTGCAATACCAGCAGAGCCTTTATTTTACTTGACTAGTGTATTCTCAGATAACTACAAATAAAATTGAGGCTGGTAAACTTCGTTTTGTAGGAACGCTTAATTTGGCCTTACTCTCCTTTGTCAAATGATTTTTAAATAAGGCTTTAATTATTTTAAAATTCACGCAGCACCTGTTATATTATTGTATTAAGTTGCTGTTAATTCAACTTCTATATACCCTCAAATAGCCCATGATTTTTGAAACAAGTCACTTTGACTTCAAACTTCTTTAATATTCATAAAATTTACTTCACCAAATGTTGGGAAGATATTTTGATGCTTGATACTTTCGGAATAAAAATTTGTCATTGATCGTGGCCACCCAATTCTTCTCTGAGGTCGTGAGACGTCATTGTACCACGACAGGAAATGCATGTGTAGCGTCACGAGACTTCCTTGAAGACTAAAGAAGGTACAACACTCTGGCAGAACATATATATTCGGCACAAAGAAGGTATTTGGACTACTGTCATGGCCCAAAGGCCAGTCCACCTGGCGTGGTACAAAAGCCGATTCAAAAGTGGCTGCTCGCCGATACCGAGGTATAAACAACCATCGTAAGGAAGGGCCGATGGTCTACTGCCATTTCCTGAAGGCCGCGTCACAATGGAAGTACAATGGTGGAGACTTTCGTGCCCTCATAACCACAATTCAATGTTATACAAACAATGTAAATATTGCATTGAAACTAGCTCCTTCTGTTTACTACTTAAAAATAAACCCCAGTTTGTATTGTGATTCATTTTTAGTTGCCGCCTCCTTTTTCCTACCAAATAAACTTTTTCATATTAGTAAATGCTTACTTGTTGAATTTGGATTCAATGGACTATCAAGTAAGTCTTCTCGCATGACTTTTCTAGGCTTTTAATATCCCATAACAGTGGCTTCTCTGCCTGTGTGTCTTGCAGCATTTGATGGTTCAAAATGTATAAAAGCGTTGACCACCATGATCCTTTAATCCAAGAACAAAACACTTTCAAAACCAATCTGTATGCCACCCTCATGTCTGCGATTGGCCACCCGCATCTTGTCGATTACTTGCCTAGCCGCTGTCCGGCCAAGTCCTGCCCCGTGCCCATTGGCTCGCCTCGCCTAAGGCAGTCTCAAAAATGTCCTTCATTGCGTGAACAAGTATCTCGCATAGCCAGGTAAGTGCTCCACATGATGTCCCGTTTTTCCAAATAACCGGTAAAATATAATGGTGAAGTAGTAGGTTTTGTTTAAATTATTAAGTTATGAAGCCGGTGCGAAGGTAGAAATGATCGAATTCCGCAGCACTTTAGAGCCCGCGCTTCAAAGGCAATGACACAGGGTCTGCAAGGAAGAACTTGTTGCACGTTATTTAAAAGGTCTTTGGAAGCGGAATTCAGCTGGAAGTCGTTCAGTCTGCAGCATTCAGACCCAATTCAGCTGTCGCTTTCACAGGTAATGAACCAATTTCATAAATTTTTCTTTGTGTTTCACAATAGCAACAGATTTAAACATGTAAGTTGCTTGAAAAGAGAATGTAATTGATTGCAGCATAACTATTCGTGACAGCACCTCTTGAACTGCCATCCAAGACAGTGGTATTAAAGCATAATAAATAAATTTCCTTTGATAAGTAAACATTTAGGGAATAGATGATAGCATTGTTATGATACGCTGGGTGTTTGTTCAGCTCTCGGTTTTGGGTAAGGGGCAACTTAGTCGCTCCGCCTTCGTGCTTTCGCCATGTGGGTTGGCCTCCGTGCCAGGTCAGTGGCCACAAGCCCTACTGGAGGCCTTGTGACGCTACCCTGTTTT